AACAACAATTTTTCCGTGGTGTATGTTATGTGTAGTAAGGACTTCTTAAGAGAGTTATTTACATTGCCACGAAACTACGTGGAAGTTGCAGCTAGTAACTACATATCCCCAAAGTTGGAACTTTACTGCCACGAGATTCGAAAAGTTTGGTGCTCTGTTACGGTGTTAACGACCCCTTGACTAAATTTTTAGCATTAACCAACGAGAAGATACATGTGATCCTGCAGCACATTTTTTACGTTGTCGCGTTTTTTTTCTGTTTCCTTTTTTTTATTGAAATCAAATAAAATATAATTTCCCTACAAACTTTGTTTAATAAAGGCAGGATAAAAGGCAAGAAGGCGCATAGATAAAAAGAAGAATGAAGATGTAATTTCTATTTTATTTCTAAAATTTTAATTATAAAAAAAATTATTTTTTGTTTCACTTTATAATTGTATTTTTTTAAATATTACAATTATAAAATGGTTAATCAGTATACGCTGATTTTTTAATGCTATTTTATCTTGTCAATTACTTTTATAGAAACGCAATCGTTTAAATGCAATGCTACTTGTTAAAAAAAGATTAAACTTTTATGCGTATTGTTACGTTCAGGGAAAATTTCCTACATAAGGATTAATTTTGTCTCAAAAAGCTGCGATAGAGCTCCATTTTAACAGGATTTTTACATTTGTATTTTCAAGCGAAGGGAGCCTCCATTCGAGCAGAACGATAGAGTTTCGATTAACCTCGATCGAGCCCTCGATCGAGATGTACTTGGGGATGACCTGTAAAAAGTGGAACACGTAAACAACATACCTACCCACAATTTCATGTCAAGATCATCCGCGCGAAAGATGAGACGCGTTTCTCTCTCTCTCTCTCTTTTCCTCTCTCTACGATTTCTCTCTCGATTATATATGATCAGTACTTATAAAAAAACCAAAAAGGAAGTTTCTTACTGTTGCTCGTTTATTCGAGTTGATATAGTGCCAGATACAATGAAACGAGTCTGGGTTGGTCGTCGGATCGTATGTCAAAACCCACCCCAATTTCTTCTTACGATTATCTCAATTTTTTATCAGCGTCGTATTTTTACGGGTGTGTCTCGATCGATGCGAGGAACGAAACGACGCTCCGTTAGGTTCGCTTTAAAGGTCGTGCCTTCATCGTTGATTCGAAAAATTTTACGTTTCCTGTTTACATCTCCCTTACTTCCTCTTCATCGTGTTTGCTTCCTCGCATTATTTTATCATTACGAAGGAGAGAGAGAGAGAAAAATCCGAGGCTCCCTGATCTACCTTAAGATTATTCCGACACCGTATCCGGTAAATCTCGTCGCGACACTTCCCCGATACGATAGTAATTAATATTCGATGCAGTTTCGACAGAGCCACGCGACAATCGCCGTCTCTCCGATCGAAACGCTGCCTCGCGCTTCAATCTGCATTCCAATTCGGTCTCGAAGGGTTCGAGATGGGTTCGGATGGGAATCTCGAGCAAGGACTAAGGACGTGATTCCGCGCGCCAACGCTCCATCTTCCGCCCGATGTCGCGGTTAAGGGTGATAATAGCGATCCCGGCAAGTAGCCGAGGCGAAGTTACCGGCGAAGTGACAAAGTACACGGGGGTCGTGCGAACGGAGAGAGTAAAAGGAGAAGGAAGAGCAAACCGGACGATCGTCTCTGCTGTGCCTCCGGAGAACAGGCGAGGGCAAAAGAGCCAGGGGTGTATTAAAGGGGCGCTATGACCCGACGTGCTTGTCTCATGCATACCAATAAGCTCTCGGGTCTCATGTGCACAGACGGGTATCCGCCTGCAGCTTGCTGGCAACTTCGGTTATTTGTCCTGTGAAATGGATCCCGTCGTTAGCTCTTGACTGTTCATAGTCGTGATCAAGATTAGCGTCGGGATTCTGTGAATATTTTAATCTAATTGTTATTATTCGTATTATTTATCGAGTATTTTCAGAAAGATGTATCGCGCGCGAATACGTAATAAAAAGTAAATTATATTGAGGATGTTTTGTATGTACAATCGCAGCAAAAAGTAGCTGAAAATCAATATTGACGAATCCACTTTTGGGGTATTTTGAGTGAGAAATTGTGTGGAATATTACAATTTGATCTTACCTACAGTGCAGAGATGTATTTTTTAATATTTATTGCGTTTCTATTGAAATATTTCGAATTTTGTTAATCGAAATGATTAACTTGTGACAGATACATGGCTAACTTGAATTATATTTAATATCTTTTTAATCAGTTAGTACTTGTATAATATTATTTGACCAAATATTTCCTCTGTATTTAAACTACACTTTTGCAAATTTTAAACAAATTCTGGATATTATTTCCATGTGTTTTTGTCATTTGAATCGACGTGGTTATACGTTTCCCATAAGAACACATGTTAATTCGGTGCGAATTAAAATCCTTATAACTTGTGAATCGATTTAAAAATTGTACTGGAAATTCTAAACATATGTAAGGACATTCTGTACAATTTTCATTAAATTCTCAATATTTTAAAAAAGGGTACAAAACATCCTTAAATTAGATACGTATAAAAATTAAGTGATATTATTATTTTTAATATTGCATTAGAACGTTACTTATACTTTACCATAAAATGAACAATGTCATCTTTTTCTAAAATGTCGAACAATCGACATTTTAACTCGTCTAAAAAAATATCCATTTTTTTGAGAGAACAAACAACGGAGATGAAAAATAATTCGTAATAAACAATAGGCGAGAAAATAACGTTGTCTGTCGTTGTTGGAGAGACTCGCTCGACGAAACGAATTTTGATTAACGAGAGAGAAAGAAAGAGAGGGGGAGAGAGAGAGAGAGAGACAGCTTTCGCGAATTCGGAAGCGCGTTCCGCGCGAAAGAACGTTCCAATTTGTCCGCGTAGTGAGCGCGAAATGAAATTAAGGCCGATGTGAATTTGATCAGCGGCGGTCGAAATCTCGGTGAAAATGCAGAGCTCGGACGAGAAACAGTCGGCGGGACGACGACTAATGACAGTTACCGCTGTGAGTTGATTCTCGTTTAAAAGATTTACGCCACCTCGTGTAGCTCGCAAATCGAATATTCGATCGACTTCCCCAAAGTATTTCCGCCCCGTTCGCAGAGAACGAAAAACCAAAGTTTGTCTACTCTCTCTCTAGAGATTCGTAACTTTTAAGTGAAATCAACGTAAAAATTTCAGGTCTCCGATGCGGTTTAAAAATTTATCAAAAAATTTCTTCCATAAATATTTATACTTCTACATAATTTTATATATAAGTATATAATATAATAATATTTTTTTATAATATAATAATATTTTTCAAACATTTTTAAAATATTTTTTTATTTATAAGAAGTAGAGATCCGTCATTTAATAACCGTTGAAAAATTCAATCCGTTATACGAAGGATGGACAGCTGCTAAAAGTATCGGATTCGTGCATTAAAGGAGATGTAAGCCTGGGTTCGGGGGATTCATTATCGTCCACTGACGTGTTCCAAATTGCATAAATTCACCGGCGACAACACGTAATAAATTTCGCACGTTGTGTCGTGCGCGTTGTTGCGTCTCACGTCGTTTGAATTATTAACTCGCTATGACCGGTATATGTATATCAATTACACAATATTGACATTGTCATTCTACGTGATTACGGGGACAGCTATTACTATCGAGCTATCTAGGACCTGTAGCTAATTAAACTTCAAAATATTCTCCGCATAAATATATGTATACAAGAAGGAATGGAAACGAGTCGAATCTCGATTATAAAGTAAAATATTAAAAGATTACGAAATATTGCCTTTGATAAAACATTCGTGTATCGCTAGTGATAAAATTATATTTACAATGATTAAACGTCCCGCTTTTCATGAAACTTGATTATGAAATTTTGCATTTTAAACAAACTCTCATAAAAAAAAGATGCTTCTTGTAAATTTCAAGTGATAAGAATGAAATGAATTATTGTTGCTGTAATTATTAGTTTGCGAAAGAAGTGCGTGGTCACGAAAGGACCGGCAATTTTTCTGCGCGATTTAAAAATCTGATGGCACTTTAATCGCGTTCCCGCACGAAATATTAGCAACAAAACGAGCAGCAATAAAATCGCGCAATGGCATACGCCCGCATGGTTCAATCCGCAAACAAAAAAAATGTCTCGTTTGCACTCCACTTGACAAATATCGACACTCGAGACAGATTGAAACACTTTTTGAGCACGGCCGAGAGAGAAAGGGATAGTCGGGTCGGCCAAAGACAAACTAGTAAATTTCGCGCGAATCGACCGTGCAAGTTCATTCGAATTAGAGCAACGATGAGACGCGATACTATATCAATTACATCGTTATAATGTCGTCAAGCCGACGTCGATGTAGCACGTGCTAATTAACGAATCTTCGTCAATCGGGCTGTTAGCATCGAAAATTGAGAGACGATCACGAGAATTAGATCACCGTCTGCTCAACGATCGCATCGATTCGATTAATAATTTCCCCTTAATACAATTGACGAACAGTATAAGATAGCGAATTAATTTATAGACACTATCAGATTCATAGGTGACAACTTTTTATCTCTGACAAATTTTTTGTCACCTTCGATTAATTGTTTGAACAAGTTATATTATTTAAAATTGAATTATATATTGCCATTATATATTAGTAGAAAACAAATTTTGAGGAGCGTATTATATTTCTTGTGCACGTGAAAAATTATGTTTACATGACACGAAATTAATAAAAAATAAATACGAAAATATAAAAAGTTAATAAAATAAATTTGTTAAATTCTTTTTTATCTAACAAACTTAATTAAAGTAGCAACATGTGATTTCTATCGAGAGCTAAATTAATTATTCTTTTACTAAGTTTGGTGAAACTCGTGGCTATTCTACTTAAATATGCTTCGCGCGAAAGGCGAGGCATTAACTCCCATGTGCTCGCATATTTGTTATTTGTGGCACGTTTCTGATAAAACGATGGTCGCATTTCTCTGCTGCAGGTTATCCTTGTGCCTCACAGTCATACGGATCCGGGATGGCTGAAGACGTTTGAACAGTACTTCCACAGCTCCACGCGGAGCATCCTAAACAATATGGTCTCGAAGCTGCAGCAGTGGCCAAACATGACCTTTATCTGGAGCGAAGTCTCGTTCTTATCGCTATGGTGGGACAGGTGAGTGAATGCGCATACATAATATGTGTGAAATATTTTGCGTGCAAAATGGAACAAAGCTTCTAATGCCAAGCATCAAAGAATGTAGATATACACACATGTTATATATTTTTTATATCTTTGAAAAATTCATAATTCATATTTTTAAAAATTTATATTAATAAAATCAAATCAAATTTTGTTAAAATAATTACAAAGACCGCTAATAAATAGATTACGAAATGGATAATGTTCATGACGATAAATAAATAAAAATTAATCGCTATTTCAAAATGAGAAATTCGGATTCGCGAGTAAGATCGTCTCTCCCAATCTAATTCTAAGAAGATGAACCTTTAATACGGTTGTTAGTTTCTGCATTCGTAATGAAAGATAAACTCTGGCCAGTGTATTTGTGTAAACTATTCTACTATTCTCTTGCAAGCATCTCTCTTTTTTTCCCTCCCTCTCGAAGCGAGAAATAAAATATGATTCGAAACATATTCTCGTGTAATTATTTTAGACGTAAATCGCTAAATTTTAATTCGCCACTGGGAAACGATCTATGATGTCTCTCTCGCAACGAACAGATGTTAGTTTTCGCATTTATAATTGAAGACAAGCACCGGCTTGTGTGTTAAATCGCAAACTCGTCACGCAAACATGTATATCTGGAAATGGACGATCGTAAAATAGGCCATTGAGAGGAAAAGAGCGGATAGTATCGAGAGTAGTGATTCTCGAAGCACTTGGCGCGAAAGAACGGGAAACGGAAACCTGAGAACAACGAGGAAATCCTTCTCTTTTTAACGAGCCGCGAGAAAAGCCACGGATGAAGTAGGGATGAAGAAGACGGAAAAGTGTCGCGAGCATAAAAGGATTCCGGGAAAACGAGAGAGAGAGAGAGAGAGAGAAAAGAAAGAGAGAGCGGATGAAATGATAAGTTTCCCAGATGAGTTTCGCAGAGGAGCTCGCTTTCATTACTTCCTCCTAGGAACAAAATGGGATCCGAAGGTTTGCTGAAAAGTAATTTTTACTCGAGGATTTAGTCACCCTACGAATCTATACGGTTTCACTAGATCAGTGAGAAGAGAAACGGGAGAAAAGAAAAGTACTTGCAAATCGTTGAGTACGAACTTAAAAAGAGCGGTTGTCTTGAAAAAAAATGAGGTAACTTATCGAAGATCTTAAGATGCCGTTGATATATGTGCATATTTTAAATATAATATTATAGATGGCCAAAATATTGAATTATATTATACATTATTCTTTTTATTCTCTCATTTTTTACCGTTTAATTTTCGTTTGGCAAAATTATTATATAAAACTTTTGCACACTCTATAAAATTTTACCCGGGTTTAGAAAATTTGATTAATTATACTTTGCATTTAATCAAATATATTTTTTCTTCGAAAATCAATACAACTTGATATTTTACTTTTAGAAAATTGTATATTTAAGTAGTTTAGTTAAGTTTAATAATATTTAATAATATTTTACTTTCATATTCGCGTTTTATTTGTACTCATCGATTCAAATTTCGTATGTATAACCAATCACCATTTGCACTGACGTGCCCTTAAAGAAAATATAAAACGCCAAGAACCGTAATGCTATGCGTCGCAGGTTTCGGCGCGTATAAAAAATTTATTATATCGGTAGCGGTGCAATTTAAACAGACCCGCGTCGAGGAAAGCTCATCTCCAAAACGCCCTAGTTTGGCCTGGGCGTAACCACCTTTAGCGACCTTAAACCAACCTACTAGCCACTGGGGAAAACAAAGAGAGGGAAGGAGAGAGAGAGAGACAGAGAGAGAGAGAAACGTATAGCAGGTGGAATCCGTGGCGGCTTTATGGCCGACATAAACGACGTAATGTGGAAACCACCTTCGAATAGGGTAGGTTATATAGGTCGTACATAACACTCTCTCGGACGCACAAATCACGTAAATCCTAGTCGAGGCTGAAATGGGACAGCGGCGACGGCGATAAATATGATTTGCGACCCGAATTGCGTGATGGGTGATATAAAACAAACGTGACGGGACAAGTCGCGTGAAAATGATTAAATTCGACTGGTTGATCTCGATCGAGCGGAGATCGATTATTTGCAATCGAGCACAATTATTGTTTTATAAAGAGCGGGATATAAAGAGATCAGATTCACCCGTAAATGTCAATTGCATTTATCATAAAATTGCATTTATTGTATTTATAATATTAATCGTTAGATTCACTTAATTATGAAAATTAAATTTTATTTTATTGAAATTCCCATCCACACGCGTTATTATCTCGTAATAATTCGAGTGTTACTCTCGTTTTTTAGTGCCCATCCGACGAAGAAGATGGTCGTGAAAAGATTAGTTAAGGACGGTCGACTGGAAATGACCACCGGTGGCTGGGTCATGACCGACGAAGCGACGTGCCACATTTACGCCATGTTGGATCAACTCATTGAAGGTAAGTAAACTCGCAGAGAACAAAGTACACACACACTCCGAATACGAACGATGAAAATTTAAACTATCTTTAGTGATTTAAAAAAATGTTAGAGAGCGGATAAAAAAAATAAGAGTTAAATAAATCCGTACACAGAAAAAATATAAGTGTCAAATCAAAACTTATATACTTAAATTAACGCGTTCATTGTTTCGTATATACGCAACAATTTATAATCTTCTTAGAAGAATTTAATAATTTTAAATTTCAACAATATTATAGTCTTATTTTAATATTGTAATTGACATAAACATCTCAAGAATATATCATTATTTAATTCTACTTTAAGAAAATTATAATCTTTGATTTAAAAATGTTATTTTCTCTCCAACATTGTATCTTTTCTATTCAAGAAATTTAAATCTTAAATCATAAGAATATATTTTTCTCGATTGAACTATATAAAATGGCTTCATTCAAGTGAGCAATTATTCAAGCAATTATATATTCTTTTATTAAATATAATCTCATTTCAAGATTTCCTTGTTAAAACTAAATATAATTTTCAAAACAAGAATGTCCTTTTTTTCTGTGTACTTTTGAAAGCACGAAAGCTTTAATTAAGACGGAAAAACATGGAAATAAGACGAAACAATATGCGATTTAAAAGTTGAATAGTGAAGGGTTTGAGGAAACGTCGAATTGTGATGCTAACGTTACGCGAAGCTCATGAAAGAATAGAAGAATCCCGTCCAACTACCGATCGAATCGCGCAAAAGAATCGCGAGCGGAAGGATTTGAGCGTATGACGAGGGAAGAGAGAATATCCTCTTCCCTTCGACGACATAAAGATCAAGTCGACGCTCGAAAACATTCTATCGACAGCCAAAAGAACATCGGAAAATTCCGGTTACCGTAGGCGAGATAGGTAGCTAGGATAGGTAGCCGAGATATCCCTCCCGTTTGCTAGCCAAGTGTCGGTCGGCAGGAAGCAATAAGGATCCCGCCGATGCGCCGCGGAAGGAAGAAGATTCGAGTAGATGGAAAGGATTTCTCTCGTCTTACCACGTGGAGAGGAGGAGAGGCAGTGGAGTAATAAGACGGCGGGTGCAAGCGGGTCTCTCAACGTAAAATTGCTCTTCGCGCCACGTCCTCATCGTCGTCGACGTCGTCGTCTCCTTCGTCCTTTCGGAGCAGCCTGATTACGATCTCTCCTCTCCCTTTCCCCATCCTTTTCCCTCTCTTCATCGCAATGAGGAGAAAAAGGATCCTCTTCGCTCTCGCTCGATTCGAGAGAGTCCTCTCGTGGAAATTTCAGTCCGTGTTGATTACCTTTCCTCTCTGCGAGGGTTCTCTCTCGCGTGCTGCATCCCCGGAATATCACAGTCTACGTTCTCCCTTCTCTCTCTCTCTCGCTCGCTTTCCTTCTGCCCGTTATATAGGGGTTGAAGGAGTAATAACTATTATCGTACATATGTCGCGTTATAGCTGCGGCCACAGCCTGCAGGATTATTCCTAATGCCTGCCAGCATTCCTTGAATATAGTCGGGTCAGGTATATCGCGACACGGCGCAATATGGAGCACGTTTTTGCTCGGGAATCTCTTGGAAATTCAATATGAGAAAAGGTTACCGGAGTGCGAGTCGAGAAAAGACGAGCTCGGATAAAATTGCTCTTATAATATATTGTAAGCGTACAATTACATATAAAGAGTAAATCAGAGAATCAAACAATCTTTTAGATTGATTGATTAAACTCGAAATTGTAAATTTTTTTCAAGTTGCTTTAATTTTATATATATATAAATATTTAACGAATTAATCGAACGATTGCATTCGGCTTGCCACTTTACTCGTCGCGTTACAGTGAATATCGCACGAGAGAGGCACGCAACATGCGCGGTGTCGTGCACGATTTCGACCGTCCGCGCGCAGACAAAAACGGCCAATTTATATCTCGACTTCCGGACGCGATAGCGATTTCGTTCTTTTTGCATAAAATTCTTCACCATTTCGCGGCACTACCGTTTAAATCTCGTCCCGATCGCCCGAGGAGCGGCTGAGTTACAGTGAATATCCGAAATCTGCTTCTTGGACTCACACTTAAGTGTAAAATTTATATATATCGAATAAAAAAGCGAGTCGGAACGCAATCAGTCGAATAGTGAATTAAATATTTATATATACCAAACGAAAAGATGAATCGGAATGCATTCGTTCGATTAATTCGTTAAATATTTATATTTTAATTATTAAATGATTTAATTATTATTTATTATTTATCTGAGAAAAATTATTAGAAATTATTACAAGTGGCATTTTTCTTCTTTCGTACAATTAAAGTAAAACGTCTCTCGTTCGATATAACAAGCATAAAAACCTAAATGTCCAATTGTATCGAAAACGCAATGCCTATCTTTTCGTCTCAAAATTCTTGCTTTTTTATAAGCAAGCTTTTTTAAATAATTTCATACATATATGGTGATGGTACTAATAAATATTAATACATGATAAATCTTGCTGAAGCGTTTTTTTTTTTAATTTTACGAATCGTCTATTCCGGTACCTGAAAATACATTTAATCATTACTTCCGCGTCACGGATCTTCTCTCGTTTTTCAGTAGACAAATATTTTCTCGCCTCTCGCGGAACGATATCCGCATCGCGATGCGTATGTGACATGAAATTTCCACGAATGCCGTACGAGATCATTAACAGCGGTAAGGGGAAGCAGGAGGAGGGTGAGAAGAGGGATGCAACAACAAAACGTACAGCGTGTTGTGACCCGTCGTCGCGCGATTTCCACACACAAACGTGTGTACAAGTGATACGAGAGTCCTCGAGAACGAGCGACATGCACTCGCTCACTTGCGTTCGCGTTTCGCGAATAGAAATAATTGTCGCGAATCCAGCAGCTTGCTTCCTTTTATTTTTTTTTTTTTTCACACGGTTATGTTATCCATTACCGGCACGAAAACCGAATCTCCATTGTATGTCCGCGATGGGTGGCCCTTTTCGCACGTGAAAATATCCACATTTCGTGCTATGCGGTGGTTCGCCATAAATAGCAATTCCACCTTCGCGTAATGCGAATGTTTTTTTTATTTCATCTCTAAATTAGAGATTCGTTGCCCGCAAGATGGGATTTATTTTTCGGAGAAAATATTTCCCACTGCTTTGGTTTCTGGAACGAAAAGCATTATCTTTCTCGAAAAATATTGTCCCACTTTTTTTTGTTCGCATTTTTGTAAAATATATTTTCCAGAGCGATAAAATATAAAAATATAAAAAACATCCATGTTCTTACTAACATTATAAATTTATATATTTTAAAATTTTTAAATATTATAAATATTTAAATATTATAAAATTATATATTATAATATTATATATTTTAAAATTCTTTTACATTTTTTATTTTAATGAGTTGCGGTATTGCGATTGAAAAGGAAATTTTTCAAACTCAATAGCGTACAGCAAATTTTATATCATTGTTGCAAATTGTACTAATGACTCTTTACTAAATTTCCCTATCGTGGTAGCGTCGCTGTTTGTAAATGGAGTTATCGAATTAAGAGCAAAGGTGGTAAACGCATAGAGCGCAAATTATGCAACGTCCAATGCGACAAGAGAGAAATGCACCGAACTCCTCTCTCTCTCTCTCTTTCTCTCTCTCCTTTCACAGTGATTTCACGGGCAGGATTTTGTAGCGGCTACATTAAATTGAAATAATGCCGCTCAGGTGTATTAACTCCTAATTATTAGGCTGCTGAATATGTATGGCGCGACGCGCAACGCGCTTGGAACGTTAAATTGCCGAGTTTTGGCAAAGCGCGACCGCCGCGTGTTGGATATACGATACGTATGCATTTTCGAGTGCATTACAGAACGAGCGCTGCATCGAGGCAAATATTCGCGATTACGGGCGTCCCTTCGCGTTATAAATATCCAAGTCCGGCGTGTTATCGTCGATTGACCGCGAATAAGCATAAACCGCGTATCGAGCGTGCGCGTTAATCGTTAAAAACGATTCGACATAACTCGTGCCCATGATTACGAGTAATGCGTTATCGCGTTAACGTAATCGCCGTTTCAAATTGATAGTTTTTGCAAATATTTCTTTGAAAGGTTTGCTTAAAGATTTAACGTGCAATCTTTGCAAAATACTAATGCTATATTATTTTTAGATTTTTCCTTCATTTTTCTTTCATATTGTTATCATTATAATTACAAATATTGATTCTTAATTTTATAGAAAAATATCCCAAGCAATGTTGAAAGATGAGAAATTTATTTGTGCAATCGTATAGAATAATATTGAATGATACACGTTGGAAAAATTGTCAAGATATATCAATTAGTCATAAAGATTAAAATTTTATAATTAAATGTGATATTTTTATAACAAATAATTTAAAAAAACATAAAAAAATTCTATTATATCTAAAAAAATCACCAACAATAAATGTTACATAAGATTAATACATAACATGTGCATCATTCCTAAAAGCGTACATTATTAAACGAGTACATTTCATGTATAAGACTTTGATTTTGGAGCAAAAATGTTTCATCTCGTAGTGTCTTTGAATGTCCGATTCTCATTTAGGCCGGTGTCACATTAAATCCCATTTTTCGCCTTCCTCTTCTTGTCGAGAAAATTAATTTGCGCGCGCGGGAGGCCTCCACAGACGGTGTATCTCGAGAAGACAGGCTCTCGGTTCTTCGCTCGAGTTTCACGGCGCGCCAACAAAGGAGCAATCTTTTAATAAACGACGACCGAGTATTAAAACGTAATCCCGCGTGCTATGAACGGCGATAATATCGAGAGCAAAGCCGGCTGGCCCACTGGTCGCCCTTTTAAACTGTGAGCTTTTTTCACGTTGGTCATTCCTTTTTCGTCTCCGTCTTCTCCTTCCTCGTCTTCTTCGAGATACGCTCTTGTAAAGAAGAATTCACTGCAAATATCGCGCGGGATAAAAGCGTTTATACGAGGCTACGTCGTATCTCGAAGGCTTCATA